GTGGCTCGTTAAGTGCTTTTGTTTTTCAAATTCCAAGCTCCTGTTTTCCAGCCCAAGTTAGAATACACAAGGTCATTGCTGCTTTCTCATGGCCCTGCTATCTCAGACTTTCTCATGGGCCTAGACAGGCTGCGTTTTGCACTTTAGCAGCTTATCCATAGCCTTAGCTATATTCATATCAATCCTCAATAAATTTAACTTTTAAAGAGAACTTGTACTGTAACTCCAGGTAAAATCAATTTAATTGGTATAGATTCCCAGTCAAGTTATAACAAAACTATTGTCCCCAAATGGGTTCTTTAACCTGGTGTGCAAGAGGCCAATCCCCACACAGAGTTGCGGTATTTGATTTATTTACAGTCCTGCGCAGAAAGGGGTGCTGGGTGGCAAATCCACAAAGCCAGCACAACGACTATCAAAACTTTACCATTTATACATTTTAGTAAACAAAGGCATTAATGTTCATTGGCTACAAGTTACAGAGTTCTCTTAATAATTAGTATTCTATCTTCTATTGCTTAATGATTCTCTCACTTCTCATGCTAATTAGTCCACATGCTCAGTCTTTCTCTTTGAGTTGGTGGATTTCTTGGGTCCACAGTCTGTGAGTTGGTGGTCGCAGATCTCCCCCTGCCAGAATTATCTTTTACCCAGTCAGACCTGATTTCTGCAAAATTGCTGAGTAAGTTTTATTAGCTTCTTCCTTATCTTGGGAGTTCCACAAAATGTCCTTGTGGCCCATAAATTCTGCATTCCTTGTGCCTGCTATTGAAATAAAGACAAGACAAAATAAAAATTTAACTATGTTAGTAAATTTAGCTATGTTAGTGTGACTGCAAATTGCAACTGCTTGAAAAAAGGTTGCTGCCTAAACTGTGGGCAATTAAGATAAAGCTAACTTACGTAAACAAAAGGACTGTCAGGAAAGCGAGAAAGACTTTTAGCATGCAACACTGCAAGAGAGACAGAAGGAGGGGTGGGGGGAACCTAAGCTGTTTGAAATGATAAAACTTTATGTAACTACTCTATAATAGTAAGAATAGGCAACCAAATGTCTATTTAGATAAGGCAGACTTCATAAAGAGTGTATATGATAGATAATTTTTGAAACCCACTGTATAAAAAGTTGTGTGTTTCCTTTCTCAGTGGACATGCACGGGGGGATGAAACCCCCTGGCATTTCCCTGGTTGTAATAAAAGTGTGCTTTATATATATATTGTTTAAGGATTTCTTTGACTCACTATCAGTGGTACATCCTTCTTCCCAAACTTTGTTAACCTCCTCCTAGGTCTGAGATCATTGAAGCATGTCAAGCCCTAAACCTTAACAAGGCCATTCTACCAACAAGTAATTTATCTTTCTAACACCTGGACATCAAAACCATTAACAACCTACTCCATTATAACTCTTCCTGTTTAAACGTAGTTAGGGTAAGTTTTCAAGGGTTTACTCCCTAGGGTAATTTAGCTGCCTCTTATTGAACTTGGCTACCAAAAGAGCATGGGAAATCTATTTTTCCTTCCATTTCTTGTGGGCATGTTTTAATTTGCTGACAGAACATTCAGTGGATTTAATGCAAATCAATTAATAGAGCTAAACATGACCTATTAAAGGTGGGGCTTTGTACCTAGACTCTTTGGTATTCCAGTTTTAAAAGAAGAAGCCTTTTACTTTGCTAAAGGACAAGGAAACCAGTTAACAAGGTACTCCAGACCCTGTTCGTGCAAGAATTAGTCAGGCGCTCGCAGCTGCGCTTTCCCCACGAGTGATGGAACTATCTAACCCCCCGGCGTGTGGCGTCTGTGCCGTCGTGCTCGCTTCCTCCGCTATGCAGCCTTCCCCTCGCAGGATCTGTGATCCAGTCACATGATAGCCTGGGGCGGGTAGCGCGTGTGTGAAGGGAGGCCGGGGTAGGGGGGGACGCGGTCCTGCCCTGGTAACGGCGGCCTGGCTAGCTCCTTGGGAAAGCGGAGGGAAGAGAAGGTTGGAGTTTTTTTCCCCTCCACTCTTGCAGGGGGACCTGCAGAGCTCGGAGTCCCGTTGGCGCGAAGCGAGGGCGCCTGCTCCTCCGTGAGCCACAGTCAGCATGGGAGGAACGGCTGCCCGCCCAGAAACACCTCCAGGGAGCAGTCGAGTCCGCCGCTAGAGCGCCCGCATGCTAGGACGCTCTGGCAGGCGCCGCGCGCTTGCCTCTGTGGTCAGACCCGCCTCTCCAACTGTCTGGCAGTGCCGCGAACGGAGCAGTCGTGCAGGCTCCGCCATGATGAGCAGCGGAGGGATCGGGGTGCCGCTAGGCTTCCCCTTGGGCCCCACGTCTGTCATCCAGGTCACGAACGTCTCCTCGGCAGTGACCAGTGAGCAGATGCGGACTCTCTTCGGCTTCCTGGGAAATATCGAGGAGCTGCGCCTCTATCCCCCGGAGTAAGCAGGGTCTGCGTCGGCCTCCAGAGCAATAGAGACTTGGGATGAGGAAGAGGCCTAGAGGGGTCGAGAGGATGGAGGGAAAGGAAGAGGCAGAAGGTCCTATGTAACATTTTGAGTGTGGACACCAGAGTCTCCCGTACGAGGGTGGGGGGGAGGTATGTGTTTGTCACGTGGTCCCAGCCCTTTGTATGGGGCAGGAGCATTAGGGGAAAGGGGCTTCGCCCGGACCTAAGATGGCGGCCCGGGTCCGGGGGAGGGGAGCAGTTGCGGTATCTCTGGAGTGGCCTGTAGAAACATGGCGAGTTTTGTGTTCTGGTGGTGGCGGTCAGAGCCGCGGTCACCCGGTGGGGGCTGTCGGCACTGAGTCACAGCCTGACCAGAAGCGTGTTCGCAGGCTGCCCCGAAGCGCTTCCCAGGTGTAGGACTCGTTTCCCCTGTTTTCCTGAAAGCCTGTTTTCTGTGCCCTACCTTTTTCTTCGCTCGGACTCATCCCAAGTGGAGGAGGGGCGGGCGGGAGCGCCCCAGGCCTGACTCCCGCCTGCCTGGCTGGCTGGCAGCCCGCGCCACTTGGGCGATGCGCGCCGGCGAGACTAGCTCTTTTTGTTCGAACGGCTTTTTTTCTCCTGCGAGAAGGGGCCACTCGAACAGAAGTCGGCACACCTGTTAACAGAGGAACGGTACCAGCCCTGTGCTTAGAAATGCTTCCGATAGGACGTTTGCAGTAAATCAAAGTTAATAACGAACATTACACGTTTCTCTAAATTGTATCTGTCCTCATTATGTCAGCTGCACACGAGGGATCCGCTCAAATGGGAGATAATATTATTTTGCAAACCTCAATGTTTCTTCCAAGCAGATGGAACAAGGGAGGAAAATAAATATTTTTTTCTTACCACATCTGTTATATTAGGAAGTGAATGACAGATGTGCCCTTTCAAACCGTTTTGGTTGGTTTTTTTTAATGAAAATTAAATAGGAATAGCAGGAATGACAGAAAGGAGCAGGGGGAGTCATTCACATTCAGACTTCAATTTTAATGTGAAGAAGATGGGAATAAAATTTCATTAAAACCTTGCAAAGAAAGATGGTATTTGTCCATTTTAATCTGTTACTGGATTATACTTGGCTAGCTTTGAATGAGGAACGTTCAGAAAAATTAAGTGTGATATAATATGTATATAAAGTATGTGTAGTAGGCACCTGTTCATGTAAAGATAAAAGAGCTTTACCAAGTTTTAAACACTCTTTAATAGACTTATGTATTTTTTGCACAATTTTCTAGGTCTTTACTTTAGACTTGTTCCACAATACCCTTTATACACTTATAGAATGGCTCGGGTTGGAAGGGACCTTAAAGATCATCTAGTTCGGACCCCCCTGCCATGGGCAGGGACACCTTCCACTAGACTGGGTTGCTCAGGGTGTACTGGGTTGACCCTGGCCAGATGCCAGGTACCCACTAAAGCCATTCTCACTCTCCCTCTGCAACTGGACAGAGGAGACAGAAAAAAAACAGCTAAGGATTCATGAGTTAAGAGCTGGGAGAGGTCACTTACTGATTACCTTCACGGGCAAAACAGACTCAAAGTGGAGATAGTACTTAAATTTATTACTAACAGGATAAGAGCCAAAGAGTGAGAAATAAAACAGTCTTAAAACATCTTCCCCCCACCCCTCCTTCCATGTTCTACCTCCTCCCCCCCAGCGGTGCAGGGGGATGGGGAATGGGGGTTATGGTCAGTTGTTGTTTCTGCCGCTGCTCAGAGAGAGGAGTCCTTCCCCTGCTCCCGTAGGGTTCCTCCCAGGGGAGACAGTCCTTGATGGACCTCTCTGGCGTGAGTCCATCCCTCGGGCAGCAGTTCTTCCCAAACTGCTGTCCCGTGGGTCACTCCTCCATGGGGTGCAGTCCTTCACGAATGAGCTGTACCAGCGTGGGTCCCCCACAGGGGCCACAAGTCCTATCCAGGAAAAACATGCTCCAGCATGGGCTTCCCTCTCTACAGGCTGCAGGTCTCTGGCAGGTCCCTGCTCCATCTTGGACCTCCCACAGGGTCACAGCCTCCTTCATGCATCCACCTGCTCCAGCATGGGCTCCTCCATGGGCTGCAGATGGGTCTCTGCATCCCGATGGTCCTCCATGGGCTGCAAGAGGACAACCTGCTCCACCATGGTCTTCACCACGGGCTGCAGGGACCTCAGCTCCGGCACCTGGAGCACCTCCTCCCCCTCCTTCTGCACTGACCTTAGTGTCTACTTTGTTGTTCCCATGTTCTCACTCCGCTCTTCCCTGGCTGGAATTCTTTCTGCGCAACAATCTTTTCTTAAATATGTTATCACAGAGGCTTTACTATTACTTCTGATTGACTTGGCCTTGGCCAGCGTCAGGAAGCCAGTCCTGGAGCCGGCTGGCATTGGCTCCACGGGACAGGGGAAGCTTCTAGCAGCTTCTAACAGAAACTACCCCTGTAGCGCCCCCTCGCTACCAAAACCCAGCCACAGAAACCCACTACACAGGGCCACATCCAACCGGGTCTTGAACACTTCCAGGGATGTTTCCCTTTTTCCAGTCACCTGGGACTTCCCCTGACTGCCACGACTTTTCAAATATCATGAAGAGTGGCTTGGCAACTACATCAACCAATTCCCTCAGGCCTCTGGGATGTATCTCATCGGGTCCCATAGACTTATGTACATTAAGGTTCCTCAGGTGATCATGAACCTGAACTTTACTTAGACAGAATATATAGACATATATGCATGTACATGTGTATATACACTTTATAAATCATAGACAATCTCCTTTTTCTATTTCAGCATTATGATCTTCTCAAATAAAAGTATAAATTTTCCTTCATCTCTTCCAAATCAGTCATGTTTGTCAGACTTCTACTTTTTCCCTTAATCTGCTGAAGTCTAATCCATAAAATCTGATTTGTCAGAGCAATCCAAGAGATTTTTAGAAGTGGTGAATTTGATCAGGTGATCATTTCAACTTTATAGGAAATTCATTTGAAAAACACTGTTCCACTATAATTAATTGTGCAGCACCCTACTGCTGACTTGAATAAAGAAAAAAAAGAGAAGGTTTATGACTTACTGGGGAGTGAGGATGATTTATCTGGCACCTATAGGCTCTTCAATGATTGTAGAACAAAGTATAGGGCTGTGCTATGAACTAGCATTATGAGAGAGGAGTTCCTTCTTATATGATGGTAATTTAATATATTCCACCTATCTAATATATATTCAATGTTTACTACTCTGCTATTGGTTACTCGTAAAAGGGCTGATTGCACAAGGTATTTTGTAATTCATTATTAGCTACTGTGCGTACTTGGGGCTCTTTCATTTGAATCAGGGGTCGATTGATGGTCGTGATCTCCCCCTGATGGAATTACCTTTTACCCAGTCCGAGTTGATTTCAGTACAGTCGATGAGTTGGCTTTGTTAGTTTCTTCTTATCTTGGGCGAAGGTCCTTTTGGTCTCTAAATTTTGCATTCTTTGTGTCCATTATCAGTAACCTTCCCCTAGGTCTGCGACCCCCAAACCACATCAAGCCCCAAACCCCAACAAGGCAATTCTACTGACAAGCAACCCATCCCAGACATCACTGTCATTAACATGTCCCTTGGTTTTATAGGATGCAACAGAGAATTTCTTTAAAAAACTAGCAGGAAGTCTCAATTGTTGAATATAATTACTTACAGTTTACATTAAATAGAAAACATATTAATGTTAGATTAGTTTGCTTAAAGTTCTTGTAAGCATGCACAATGAGGAGAGGGAGAGAAACCACCTCAGTTTTTTAATGCATTGAATAAAATGCAGGTTCTGTAAGATGACTTTTCAGTATTCCTAGTGAACTTCCTGAACCTGGTGACTTTTCCCAGCAATTAATAAGACTGTGGTTTTAAAGTAGCAGTCAAGGTCCTTTATTTTGTATACTGAATTGATTTGGATAACTTTTATGAATGTTGAGCTAAATCACACTATGCTCTTTGGTAGTTTGTCACTTCATGTTTTATCTTCATTCATCAAAGCCCTTCAGTTTCCTCAGTCACTGCTAATCAGACATCCCAATAAGAAGGATGGATGTCGTATCTGTCATGTTCCTAAAAGCCTAGTTCTCCATGAGGAAGTGTCTCTCTCATGTATTAGAAGTTTTCAATCTTTATGCAGATGGCAGTAAATGCTACTTTATTATTATTGTCATTTTCTGAAAAGACCTGTGTGAACTGTGAGTAGTCCGCTTTCAGATTCAGCATTGAGGGCATTGGAAACTCTTGGTACTGAAGAAGTTGTTTCCATATGATCAACATCCTGATTTCAGCTATTTGTCAGTGAGGCTTCATTGACACTGAAACCAATATTTCTTTTTATTGAAAGACTATTAATGTGTATCATATTTTAGTGGGTCATAATGCTTGTTACTGGTGGCTGTTTGTATTTACCTATTTTCTTACAAGAAAATTTTAAATTTGACTTGATTGTACAACTATATACTGTTCTGCTCTCTGGAAGACTTTCCATTGAAACTTTAATCTAAAAATTGAAAGCACCTATTTGATGAATAACATCAGTAAACAAATTATGTGGAGGTGGGAAGAGGGTTGGGTATTTTTTAATCCACTCATTTTACTCTCAAGTAATTTGTATTTGATTATCAAATCTTAAAGAGACTAGCTGAGTTTATATTTTATCATGCTGCAATTGTCTGCTGTATTGGTTTAAAATTGGTGTCAAAAACTTTCCTAAGAAACTTTGACTTCATGAGATTTTTAATCATTTCCTTGTAAGACTTGTCTCTTATAGACTGCTGTAAATAGCTTTCAGTGCTCAAAGACCCCTTTTATTCCATTTCATTACTATTGCCAATCATTTTGGTCATCTCTTCTTCCCTGTCCCATAAACAGAGCTTTAGCCTTGAGAAGAAGGATGTTCAGAGAATTTGTGCTTTTTGTCTTTCTTTTCCTAACTGCTCAGAAATGAAAGTAAT